GCTATAACAATTTTGGAAGAACATCCGATTTATAAAAGCAAGCAGTCGTCATTGCACAGTTAGTGAAAACAATTCTATTCCTTGTTTATAAACGCTACGCAAAAGCAATTTGGCGACAGAGCAGGTTTGACTCAAAGGTTTTCGCCAAGAATGCCTAGCAGTGCCGAAGACGTGAGCATTTCCGTGAGTGCCTTCCGGGGGCAACTTTACACATTGTCGACTCCCGGGCACCTCTTTGGCAACGTATTTTGAAATTCGCCAAGACTGATCTCACATTTTCTCGCGAGAATCTTTGAACACTGTTTCGCGCATGAGCAGCAGTTGCTCGCTGACGCAGCATCAAAAGCCTTTCGCTAAACAGTGTTTTATTTAAGATACTCTTTGAATATGCCATTTGAATAATGTAACGCATGAGTAAACATGAGATTTGAATAAATTTAGCTGTTTATCGTCTGTTTATAAAATTATTGTTGTTTATCAGTGGCCTTATAAAGATTTCCTGAAACCTTATTTACTTTTTAAATTTAAACTTGTTTTATATATAAATTTTTTTCTCTGTAAATAGGATTTAACTTTCTATTCATTTTCTAATTTAATAAAAATGATTTATGGAGTCTTTGCCAAGTATGTGACCCTATTTAGTAATGCAACAAGCTTTTGTACTTCATTATTTATTTTTTAAATCCCTCTGTCGAAGTTATTACACATTTTATAAGTCTCAAGCAATTTTTTTTTCTAACGACAGGGAAGTTGTTGCTATTGAGTTTATAAATTTTTTTTTTTTTCGTGGAGAATAATTTATTTGTGACAAATCTGATTAGTATTTAAGATCACAATATTTAGTAATGCAAAGTATTTGTGCTAATATAATGTGTGTATACTTACAATAATTGGAAAATAGTTGTAATTAAAAATATTTACGAAGTACTTAATATAATTAAGATATATTCATTGTAATTATTTTAAAGACTTCGCGAATATTTTTTAATTAGAATGCAAATATATTTTTCAATTTGTTTTGCTCTTTTTCTATTCTAGCTGCATTCATGCATTCACCACAATAATTTCCCCCCAATTTTTTTATATTGTTAAATTTAATAAATATCGCGAATATATACTATACATCCTGATTATTTCATATTTTTGATTCTTCAGTATCAATCTTTTTTAAAGCAGTCTTAAAATGTTAACTTATGTAACAGCTTCTTGAATTTTCATTACGATGGTTTTGTTCGTGTCAAAAATTTTGCCATATTAAGAGTAGTAAAAAAGAAAATTATTTTAAAATTAGACTAAGATGTGTTTAGCAAACTTTACATACGAGATACTAAAAAACTCTCACATCTGAGGGGAAAAAGAAGAAGTATAATTTATATGAGAACAGTAATGCCTACGTTACAAAAATGGCTTAAGTTAACATCATCTAATGAAAGCAATGACTATTTCAAGTTGAAATGTATCTGAACCTGCCAATCATGGTTTAATTTTTCTTTATTTTGTCTCATTTTTCCTTAAATTAATGTCTTGAAGTCATATATAGTATTAAAAATTGTTTTGATACCAATTCTTTAACAAATATTTTTCGATTACATTAAAATTAAAGAGGACTTATGACTCGACAGCTACAAAAATTTATTAGATAACATACTAACGTAGTATCAAGCATTTTTAATAACTGCTATATGGTTAAATTTGTCTTCTATTTTATCTACTCCTTTTTACTTTTTTTTTACACTTTTTGATCATCAATAGTTAAAATTGTGTAGCAATTAATATATATTTATTAGATGAACACAATTTTATTATATAAAACTTTTTATGATCGGTAAAATGAAAATAAAAAAAAAACTACTTGTGTAATTCCAGCTCTGGATTTATCAATATTTTTATTACATTAGTTAATTTGCAAACAGTTGATTTGCTAATGTCGTTTTTAAGTAAAATTGTAAGCTGTTGCAAGAGCTCATCTTTCTCTTCTATTGATGCAAGAACAACAGTTAGCATTTCCTGGTGTTCAGGCTGAGATATGGAATTCTCCATATTGACTGCAAGTATATTAGAAGAATTTCCTTTGTGTTTATCAGCAATGGTATCCATTTTTTGATAGAACTCTACAGTAGGGCATTTCTCTCCTAATGCTAAAAAGGCCAAATGCTCATTTGCATCGAATATTGACACTGTTGGGATGGGCACGTTTAATTGCTGATGCAAATATAATAGGTGCTTACAAAAACACCAGTCCGTCCACTCACGCATGTACAATGGCCAATTTCGGTATTTACCTCATAAAAAGTATCAATTTTTGTTGCACTTGGCACAGTATAGGTATTATTGTTCACTTTTATGCATTCCTGAAAATGAATGTTTATATCCTCAGCTGACTTTGTGTACAGGGCGGTCCTTCTACCATTAGCAAAATCCAACAATTTCATTCGTAAATAGTTGTCCCACTCTGACACAATAAGAGCTACAGTATTATATGCCTTCGTTCGATATAGCACAACATCTTTCAATATTCGGATAGAGGCCACGGCAAAATTATTGGTATTGTGGCCTCGTATCAAATATTTTTGGCGATCTACAGAGGTCCATTCTTTCCGTCGCTGGAAGAAAGTTTCCATGCGTCTCAAATATTCGGGATGGACTTTTATGCCGTTTTTCATTTCATTATAGGCTGACTGTAATTTACTTTCTTCCACAGCATACATGACCTGAAATATTAAAAATTACTTTATAAAGAGTTAATAAAAGTTCTTAACTGCATACTACACTGTTTACATTCAATAATAAGAATGTTTGCAATTTAATTGTTTACAATTAGAAGTTCATTCTAAAAGAAAAGTGGTTCAACAAAAAAAGCCATATTCATTAAAGAAATATCGCGATCAACATTTATTAATACACCAATTTGCAAAATGAAAACTCACCTTGATAAATTTGTCCTGTGGTAGTGATACGAAGTTCACAGTACATTGCATTGTTATTTAGTAAGATCTAATAATTATGTCATTACCTGTATATTCACACGTGGATCCCTAAATTTTAATTAGTTTAAATAATATGAAAACAACAAATCTATAAATTATAATTAATTTTAATCCTGATTATCTAAATACACATCTTGATAATTACAAAACAATTAAACCCTAACTCTCACAAAGCTACATAATTAAAGTATAAATAAAGCCAACATACCCTTGACCCTTTCTCCCTCACTCCAGCGTCCTTCCTTCAGACTGCTCAGCTTCCCAGTTCCGGACGGCTCCTCAAGATTCTTCACCCTTTCAGGGCAAGCCCTCAAAGTCCTTCTGATTGGTTGATGAAGAAGGGGCTGCCCTATTGGCACCTAATCGCTCAGTTTGTGAAGTCGCCGTAACAGTAGTAAACATTCCAGCATGTGTGGGTAATGTCGCTGTATGCTTCGACAAATTTTTCTTCTTCTTCTTCCTCTATTGAAGAACGAAGTATTACTTTATCATCATTTGAACTTTTTTCGTCCAAAAGGAGAGTAAAATTTTTACTTAACTCGGGTAACACGAAATTTTTAAAAATATCCATAGTGCTGGTATTTGCTTGCGATTTTAGCGCGAGTTTAAAACAAATTGAGGCGGGCATAGGGTTGCTTCTCACCAGATTAGGCGATGAAACAGTTGCCAAATAGAACCGCCGCTGGTGGAAGTGCCTGGGAGTCGACATTAGGAAAATCGCCTCCATGGAATGAAATTCTATCTGGGAATGACGTCACGTTCCAACGGGAATTATTTTTCCCCACCACGAACACCTTGGAAAGAGTTTCTTGGCTGGAATTGGAATCGGTTTCATTCCAACCAGTCTCCGGCACCTAGAATCGTCGTTCCACAAAATGAATGATTATACTTCTACTTAAAAAAAAAATTTTGCAAGGGTACTGTGACCCCTCAATATATTTATGAACTTAATTTTCAAATACCTCAATATATAAAAGGTAAATAACTATTTATTCTAAGTACATAGATGAACAATTAAATATTAGATGAAAGCTAAAATTAAGGTACAAGTGTTAAAGTGGTTTCTTTCATGAAATTTGAAGTCTATAAATAACAAGATGAACTATAATAATAATAAGAAAATCTTAAGAATTTCACAGTTTCAGATGGATACAAAAGTCAGTAAAAATATAAAACAAGCAAAAGTATACCGATCCATGATAAATATATATATATATATATATATATATATTCATGAAATAATAAAAAGTAATATAACAACAGGATACAAAATTCAGCAAAAAATAAGAACAAATAATTGGAATAAAAAATACACAAAATTAGATTAAGAAATTAAAGTTGTTGATGATGCAAATTACTGTTTTTTTCTCAGTGGATGTTAGTTTGCATAGAAAGGAAGGTGAAGATTAACATTAAAGTGAAATTTTAACTTAAATTTTTCTATTGCAGCTTAGCACAAACTTAGGGAAATAAAATTTGAAACAACAAAAAACTTTAAAATGGAGAATATCTAAAATTGAAATTAAATTGATTATGATTTGATACAGTTAAATAAAACATTAAGCAGTGCGTGTTATTTTATTATTTTGCCATTTCAGATCACCCTCTTTGCTGCTGAAATATTGCGAAAAATTTTGCCGGATATACTCGGCTCTGAAAGATGCATGTTTCGATCCTGTTGCAGCAAGATTTGTTAAATTTTTGTCCGGCATTGCATTGTTTGTTCCTTTTTTTGGTTCTAAGGGACATGGTATTTTTCTTTTGCGCAGCATATTGTGCAAGATGCAGCTTGCTAGCACAAGTTTACCTCACAGTTTCAATTTTACGTGCGATTGGGGTGAAAAACACTCTGAAATACTGGCATAGAATACCAAAGGCATTTTCAGATGTCCGCCTAGCTCTGCATAATCTGTAATTATATAGTGCTTTTTCAACATTTGCTTGAGTTTGACTTTCGGGGAAAGGTTTCATCATTGCCGAGATTAATGCAAATGCTGCATCCCCGACAAAAACATGTGGGCACAATATTTTAGTTCCAGGAAGGTTCTTTGGTTTCGGAAGGGTAATAGTCCCTGACTGAAGATTTTTGTTAAGGTTAGACCTTTGAAAAATTGTACTGTCACCTTCCTTTCCATACGAACGAACATCTACTGTGATAAAACTGTTCTAGGAAAAAAAGGTTCCGGTAAAAAAGGTACCTGTGTTGGGAAAATTCTGTGGGGGAAAATATTTGAAATGAGAAGATTAGATTGAAGCGCTTTTTGCCGTTCCGTGCATGTTTTTTTTCTTTTTCTTTTCCGCGCGTTTTCAACTAATTAAAAAGGACCAATACTTTCACCTCCAATCACGAATAAACATCCAACACATAAATCCTCCAAACTTCCCCGATTGGCTACTTTAAGCCTCACATTAGCAACTTCTTCACAAAATACAATTTAAAATAGAAAATAACACATTTTTCACTTAAAAAAATTAAAAAGAAAAATTAAAACATTATTGAAAAATTTAAATAGTATCTTCCCGCTTGAAGAAATAATAAATAAATGAAATAAAATTAAAAAAAAAGAAAAGCGTAATACAACCAGCCCATAAGTCCCCCCCCCTTACCCTTCTCCTTACCTCAATGATCTAATCTGAATTATTTCAGATAAAAAGAATATTCATTGAAACAACGAGAAGCTTTCATGCTGCCCAGAAAGCGAGAGGGGAAATATCCCTACAGATTTTCCCTATTAAGGTACCTTTTTTACCGGGACCTTTTTTTCCAGGGACCCTTTTTACCGGGACCTTTTTTTCCGTCTACCAATATTAAGATACCAACATGAATAACTTAAATTACTTGTCGTAACTTATGAGTAATGGACACTTAATTTCAGGTAGAGTTAAAGTCTATATAAAATATTAATATGTTATATTTTTTGTAATATTACTCTTCTTTAGTTCGTAATAACCAATTTATCAGGAAAATATTTATAAGTGTGAAGAAATACTGTTGTAACTCAAACTTAATTTTTTTTGGTTAATCACAGCCCTCAACTTTTATGCGTCAGGCTCCTATCAAAGGTTCGTGGGCCAAGACTTCACTGTTTGCATGTCTCAGCAAAGTGTGAGCAATTGCATTCTTAGTGTTTCATCTGCCCTCAACAGTGTGATGAATGATTATATTCGATTTCCTCTTCAGACAAGGTAATTGTTATACTCAATTAACAACTTTTTTTATGCTTATAAAATATTTTTAGTGTAAGAATGTACTTGCTTTAAACCGAACAAACTTTTTGTAATGAAACAAGAAACCTTATTAGAATTTAGGACAATTTTATGCAACATTGTTTGTTTAAAATCTTGCTTTTGTTAAACATACAGAATATATAGATACATTTTATCACGATTATTCTATTCCGTTTGATTTATTGAAAGATATTTCCATTTCTTACAAGTGTTTTAAAAATAAGTCTCTTTTTTTTAAATGGTTAATTTTAAATTTTTTAACTTATCGTAGCAAATTGTGCCACTTTCTGTATCTTAACATTGAGAAAAACGTTTTTTTTTCCTGCAAAATATTTTCTTAACATAATTTATAGTTGTGTGTTAGCATAGATAAATAAGAATTTAGAAATCCAAATGATTGTAAAACATAGAATCTGGTGAAAAAAAAAAAAAAAAATGACTAAGCCAATACACCAACTTGCACTCAAGATATGGAGTCAGCCTAAATGTTTTCAAACTTTATGAAGTAAATAGATATTAAGAGTTAATCATATTATGCCATACATGCTGTCCATTAAAAATCACAAAACTCGGTATAATAAGCCTGTCATTCCCCTTTAGGACACTATTTTTTTTGGTACATTTTTGTAGAATTTTATTTATCTTATTACTTAAATTTTTATAAGCTAAATAAATAGAATCAGTTTTTTATCTTAGTATGCATTAAAAACTTTTTTTTTCTTTCAGTAACATGACTTGTTAAAACAAGAGTTTTACGAATATTCAGGATTTTATGGTGTGATAAGCACAATCGACTGCACCCACATTACAATAATTGCTCCGAAAGATGACGACACTCACAGGGAACTGAACTATGTGAATCGGAAAAATTTCCATTCACTTAATGTTCAACTTGTAAGACATATTTTTTAAAAAAATTATTTCTTGTTCAAGTCTATCTTTAGCTTGTATCTGTTATTTAAGTTCATTTGTAATGTGTACATGTTCTCATCAAATATAATAACCATTAATGTAATACAACTTCAATATTTATAGGTTGTTGATATGCAGCAAAACATTTTGAATATTTCTGCAAGATTCCCTGGCAGCAGTCATGACGCGTACGTTTGGAAATCAAGTGAACTACGAAGATGGCTTCAACAAGCCAAACTGAATGACACATGGCTCTTGGGTAATAGCTGTTATAATAAATTATTTTAATTTATATTTATTAATCACATGTGTACATATTTAAATTTAAGATCAATTAACCGTTTCCTATTCGAAAAAACTTTTCTCCACTTATTGTTTTTCATTAAGAAGTTTTTATAAATTTGTCCGATAAGAATAGACACTAATCCATTAACCAACATACAGGTTCAGAACCACTATCATAACACCAGCTCAATAAAAATGTCAGTAAAAATTTTTGTTAATAAATTAATTTATTTCATTAAAAAATAAACTATATTTAGCAACTTTTATTTAAAAGGAATATTAGTCAAAAAAGTCTAATACAGAATGTAAACATATTGAAAAGAGTGGATTTAAAATTATATTCAGTTTTTTATTCAATTTGTAAATTAATTCAATAACATAATTTTTTTAAATTTTTGTGATAGTTTCATCTAAGGGATGGAATATATTTGAGACAAAACGTATCAGTTTTTTGTATTAATATCAAAGAAATGGCTTTTACTAATCTCATTTCAGAATGTAACTATAGTATTGTAATATTCATAGCCTAATTGTTGTCTATTGTTTATTCGAATAGGAGATTCTGGATATCCTCTTGAGCCATGGCTGCTAACTCCCATCAGTGGGGACAACTTGTCTTCCTCTAAAGAAGAATACAATTGGAAGCACGTTTCTGGCAGGGGTACCGTTGAACCGTGCAATGGAATACTGAAAAGTAGATTTCGGTGCCTTTTAAAGCACAGAGTGCTAAATTACTCGCCAGAAACTGCAGCACAATTCATAAATGCCTGTGCTGTGTTGCACAATATGTGCATCAAAGAGAATGTAATCTTTGAATAAATAAGTATCTGCGGAGCCGATGTGCCTTTTGACACAGGAGTTCCCTTCAATCCAGGGCAACGGGAAGCTAATGTGAGCGAAAAAGTTATGCGTATGTTTGCTGTTTAATTGCTTTTTAAAATTTTAAAAAAAAAAAAGTTTTAAACACGCCAGAGCTATTTTATATAGTACTGCCAGTCCTAAGCCTGGAAAAAGTGTGAAGGGAAGTTAGTGCATAAATACTCATTTAACCTAGTTTTTAAACACTTTCCAACTATCTGAACCACGTTCGGCTCCAAGCAGTTTGGATAACCGGCACTCTACTGTACATAGTATACATTTTTTAAAATTTCTTAACAAGTACATAAAGAATTAGTTCAAAACTTTAGAGGTATTTAGTTCATGCGATATTTCCGAGTGAGCGATAAAGTTTAGAGTTTTCAAAGGTTTCAGGAATCGGCAACAAATTACAAATGAAAACAAGTACAGTCGAACTCGTTTATAACGAGAATATTTGGTTGGATCAATGTTAAGTCTACGGAACAGAAGTCGCTTTTAACGAGCAAGACCCGGTTTTAGCGAGCAATATTTTTCTGTCTTGCAATCTTTTTTTCAAAATGATAAGAAATGCACGCGAAATAAAATAAAAAAAAACGCGAACTGAAACTTCAAAGTAAGCTAACAAACTACTATTTTAAATATGTAGATTAATGAAAAAAATTAATGTTTTGGTAAGAATCTTTTCCTTTATTTTTCTTTCCGTTTATTGCTTCTTTCCTTTAAGACTGTAGCGCAACTAGAAATTTTTTGCTGGTTGGGGGGTTGTCATTAAATTAAGAAAAGTATTTAATGAAATTAATTAAAGTAAGTAAGTATTAATTTAATTTTATGTAAACTCAATAATTTGACCTCCTACCCCCCCCCCTCTTCTGGTTGCACGCCTGCCTTAAGGACCCGTTTATTACGAGCACTCGGATTTAACGAGTACATGTTACGGTCCCTTTGTGCTCGTTATAAACGAGTTCGACTGTACTTTTGTACAATATATGCCAGCAAATAACTTTATCTTAATTATCTGACATCTTAACTTTAATGTTTATTTTTCCATTTACGATGAAATACTAGTTTTGCATCTGTTTTAACCACCTTTTTTGTCGCCAGATATAATGTAATGATTGTTGATGTGATTTAAGTTGTACTGTAATGTAACTGATTTATTCTTGATCAACTTGTTTATATTATTTTCTTTTTCATGTCATTATGCAGAAATAAAAGATAAGAATCTTTATAAATAAAGGTTTTGTGCATGTTATAAAAATATTTCTTTTTTTTTCTTCAAATTAAATGTTTTTTCTCAAATTTAATGTTTTGCCCTTGTTGCTATCTATTAAGAGAAGGAGCTTTTCTGCGAGCTGTCTTTTACAAAAAGGTAGCACGTGTTAGGCTTACCACATTACATTATTTGACCAAACTCGTCACACCATTTTAAAGTGAGAGTTTTTTTAAAATGAGGCTCTCCCTCTGTAAACTTCACTGGCGGTAAAAAATTGGAACATTATCTTAAACGCTAATTTAAATTGGGATATCCTCTCCGACCCAAAAGATAACTATTGTACTTCTCAAGACAGACCCCCTCCCTAAGAACACGCCTGTTATTAATGATGGTTAGTCTCAGAGAGAGAACAAAAACTTCGAGAAAGTTTAGGGGTTACACAATGAGATTGGCATTGGCGTATTTTAGTACCTTCGAATCCTGCTAAAATTCTTGAAGCTTGACTAGAAACTCGCCAATTCTCTCAAAAGAAGTTGCATAGTAGTATGTAAGAAGTATTTTAAATTAAGCTATGCACTAATAAATACACAGAAGGGCGACCTTTGTGCTGGAATACAAAGTAAGGTAAAACAACGTTTAAGAGCACAAAAAATATTTAAGAATGCAGACAGCTGTTTCGGATGGTCAAAGGGCAACCTTCATCAGTGCAACAGAAAAGATGTTGCACCGATGAAGGTTGCCCTTTGAGTCTCCGAAACAGCTGTCTGCATTCTTAAATATTTTTTGTGCTCTTAAACGTTGTTTTACCCTACTTCGTTAGCTATGCACTAGTTATTTTTCATGTTATTACTGAAATTAACATTTGTGTTCTGAAAGTATTAATACAAAAAAGTCGCTAACATTGAATCAAAATGGAAAAAATTTGAACGAAGTTAAGAATGTTTCTTTTCTGAGGTGGTAGCATACACACTCATATATTTGCGAGAATTGAACTTTTATCAATCTGAATCTTTGAAACATTCGTTAACTACANTAGGATTGAATCTAATTTAAGCAAAGTAGAAAAACACCTACAGAAAATTTTATATTAATTTTTATAAGTTATACTGTTTAGTTTCTTGCGGTTAATGGTAATTAACGTAATGCTAGGTTTAAATAAAACTTGTTAGTTCACGTAAGTTTATTTCAATTACAACACATTGAATAAATGTGTAAAGACTGGCTTTAAGGTACATACTCATTTAATTTGTTATGCTGTCTTATATTTTGAACTGAATCTGAAATCCAAATTATTAGTTGCTTTAAAATATATTGTCTTTCATCGGTGTATGTTTTTTAACTGAAAGTTTATAACAGTTGGTTTAGCGAAATGGCAATAAAGTAAGCAAAATAAGTGTCCAGTTTGTATAAGTAGTACTAAGTATTTTAATAAGTGAACTACCGCCACAACATGCGAACACGTTAAGAGAAAAATTAAATCAACGAAATTACACTCAAGAATTGTCTCTACTTTTGAGTTAGATTTAAAATTTTGGTTATAAAGACAGACCAGTAGCTGGCATATAATAAAATATAATAGAAATATTAAGTATACAAATAATCTTATATCTGCATCCTGAAGAGAGAATATGCAAGCACCAAATTTTTTTTTTAACTGTCAGTCCATAAGTTCACTAGACTTTAAATAAAACTGCAATCTTGTTAATTGAAACTTTGAGTACAATTACAAGAAATTTATACTCTTAAATAAAAAATTTTTGAATTCCTAACAATGAAAGAAAATGGTAAGTGAAAATTGTTTCAAACCTGCTATAAAAGTATAAAATATTATCATATATGCCAAAAAATATAAAACAATAAATATTTTCTCTATAATATACAAATACATAAAAAAAATTGGAAATACATGTTTAAAATTTACTAATTTTTATTCATATATATATATAAAAAAAAAGAAATTAAACATAAACTTAATTAAAAAAACTAAACAAAATGTCGAGATGAAACATCGGCAATTCTTTCCAAAGCATCCGCTTTTCTCTTCTCAACATTTTTGCGCTCCTTCATCTCCTCCGCCTTCCACTTTTCAATGTTGTTCCTCTCTTGCATCATACTCTTGATGTCCTCAAGAGCAGACGTTGTGGCTCTTTGAGCAGACAACAGCTGCTGGACTTGGTCTGTTGACATAAGTTTCTCGACTTTCTGGCGCTTTCTCCGCCGAAACCCGCACTTTTGATTTGTGGCATCACCCTCTCTTTTTAAGTTTGGTGTTGTTTAGGTAAAGTACTCATGAGGGCGTTGGCAAATTGTGAAACCGTACACATGAGGGCGTTGGACGCCGAGTCGAGTGCACGTTGGCTGACAGCGCAAGACTCGGCATCTGGCAGTTGGACCAGCGTACTCAGTGCGAACACATGGAGTTAGAGGAGTTTACCTGTTTTTGGTTATTGCACCGTAAATACAAGGCTCGGCAAAGAAGACAAAGACGATGGTGGGTTCATCCCCTAATAGATGACCGGGTTCATTGTGACGCTATACCCAAAATTAAGGGAATACCCCAACAAGTTTTTCAACTACTTCCGTATGAGTATAAGTTCATTTGATGAATTATTATCTTTAGTCACTGATGATATATTACCTTGTGAATATGTTGTGAGGGATGCAATTTCACCAGAAGAAAAACTCGTTGTAACATTAAGGTATTTTATTACAATTCATATTATACGTTTAAATATAAGAATGACAACAATATTTTTTATTAAACCTCAATTAGAAAAAATTAGCCTAATTGACAAAGTAATGTTTTAGAAACAAATTTATTAATCGTAAATATCAGAAAAATCCGTGTTTGCTTGAGAAATGGTGCTGTCCGTTGGCGATAGTGCTGTTGATGCCACAGATGGTGTCGGGCTCATTGGTGCTGATTGGCTGCTGTAACCCATGAGTAATCCAGAGGAGGAACTTTCTTGAACCGTTTGAAATTGGTGCCTTTGAACATTGGATCCGTAATTCATTTGATTGAATGTCTGGGGTGGTGGGTACGATGAGTAATAACTCGGAGGCACTTGGGGAATTTGTGAGGGGTTATAGAATTCTTGGGCCCTCTGAATGACTTCTAATAACTGTATTTTTGTACGGAGCCGCCCATGTGCAGGTACTTTTTGGAGCTCAGTGTACAAAGACATACAAAATAGTTTGTCATCATCATCCTTATTTGGAACTTCTGCATGTCTTTGTTCCCTAAGAGCAACACTTTTGTTTAAAATATCAATGAATTGCTTGTCCACAGGGTTTATCTTAAACCTTTTGTTGCTATTGACGTTCTTATCAACAGCCCTTGTTTGGGGCTCATCTGAACGTGGCTGAGAATGCAGCAATTCTGTTTCATCATCCAATTCATTGCTGTTTTCTAGGCTATCAGTAACAGCTTTGTTAGTTACAATAGGTTGCAAGAACTGAAGGCGTTGAAAATATATGTATGGGTTAGACTTACTTGCCCCAGAACCAGATTTCAAAGTTTCTTGTTTCTTTAGCTCTCTAGAATAGTTGTCTCGAACATGTTTCCATTTTTTCTGCAACGTATTGCCTGAAAAAAAAATATATATATATCAACGCACATATTAGCGGTTATTTTTATTATAATCTACATTTTACTCCCTACAAAGCATAAAACTACAGATAGTTTGTACTTTTCCAGGTATTTGGCAACAGGAACATCCTTTGCTGACCTCCATTACACCTACAAGTTGGGAAAATCAACAATCGCTAATATAGTACGACAAGTATGCTCAGCTCTGTGGAGAGTTCTCAAACCTATATGCATGCCTCCTATCTCAGAAGAAAGATGGATAAAAATCAGCAATGAATTTTTTAAATATGCAAATTTCCCCCATGTCTTAGGATGTGTCGATGGTAAGCACATAAGGATTGTGCAACCCTCTGGATCTCTTTATCACAACTACAAACATTTTTTTTCAACTGTTCTTCTGGCAGTGTGTGATGCAAACTATTGCTTTCTTTATGTTAATGTAGGGTCTTATGGCAAAAGTAATGACTCCACAATTTTCCAAGAATCATTGTTTTACAAACACTTATCTGAAGAAACGTTAAACGTCCCAGCACCTAAACCAATAACAGCATTAGATAACACTAGTTTATCTTACGTATTTCTTGGGGATGATGCTTTTGGTCTATCTAAAAACATCATGTGTCCTTACGTAGGAAAGCAGCTTCCCCATGTTAAAAAAATCTTTAACTATAGACTTTCAAGGGCTCGCCGCTACATAGAATGCACTTTTGGAATAAAGGCTAACAAGTGGCGAGTATTCCATAGAGCTCTGAATGTTAACATCGATTTTGCTGAGTCAATTGTATTGGCGTGCTGCGTTCTACACAATTACGTTAGACGCAAAGATGGCTTCAGGGAGGAAGAAACTTATTATCAAGCACCATTTGAAAGTGTTGATGGCACATGGCAAGTTCCTCGGGCATGTAACTACGCAAGAACTGTGAGGGACAAGTTTACGCAGTACTTCGTTACGGACGGGAAACTCCCTTGGCAAGACCGCATGGTGTAAGCGTTTATGTGAAATATACACTGCTGATAACATTAGTGTATAAGATGTTGTGAACACAAAACACTGACTTATTTCATAAGTGCACTCTAGTGCATTTGTATTACAAATATGTGGTACTTGTATAAAGACATACTGCCTTAATTTTATTGATTTAACGTATTACAATTTGAATAAATGTATCATTAATTAATACTAATTATGCTTTGTATATTTACCTAAAAGTGTCTTCTCTTCCTTTGTCATGTTTTTTTCTGCAAACACATCCACAATCTCCTGCCAAGCAGACTTTTTCAAGACTCTATTTTTATAATCTGGACACTCCGTGTCCCAGATGCATCTTCTTTTTTCGACTTCATCAATAAACAATTCTGTGTCAAACGCTTCCGCTTCCATTGTACATACACAAACAGATCAAAACAATGTTAAGATCACTCACAGATCACACAATTCACGTCAAAACCGAGCAAAAGCGCGCGCTCGACTGAGCACATGTGTACGTTCTAATGCCCAGTATAGTAACTCGAAGCGCGCTGCAAACGTAGCGGTTGAAGTGAAAACTACAAGCGTCGCGATTTGGCGACGTTGATTCAAAGCGCGCGTTTGCATGTGTACGATCCCATTTGTTTCTATGTATTTGGCTAACGCGCGTTTGACAAACGAGCGCTTAACGCGGCATCTAACGCCCTCATGTGTACAAGGCCTAACACCTGAGATTTGGTGATGCCACTGGTAAATATGTCAGCATCACCCTCTGAAAATTGAAGCATGCTCGGTATGACAAAGTCAAAGGGCGAAATCGCTCTTAGAGGGGAAGCTGATGTTGATGGCACAGGTGTCACGATTTTTCACGATTTTTGGTAAACTATTTTCTTAATGTAGGAGTTACAATTTATTTACAAAATGTAGTTAATATTTGACTACTTATAAGAGGCAAATTTTACTAGAAGATTTTATTTACACTGTTAAAAAGGAAATTGAAAACTGAGAGAAAACATTTAAGAAAAATTAATTTCAAAAAATAAATTTACTTATGGGCAAGAGACAGTGTAAAGAACTATCTGATCTCTTTAACATGAGAAAATATATTACTGTAAGCCATTTTTATACAATTGTTTTTCTTTTAACTTTCAAGTTGTGGTCTTTTTTAACAGAGTATGTTTAATTCAAGAAATATTAAGAAATCACACAATTATGTAACAATCCACATGGAGAATTGCAGAGTAAAATATGTTCATCTTCATAAAATTAGCATGCACTCCCTATTTTTTGTATTTAAAAACAAGACTATAAAGTAGCTATGGCTTACAATGCCTAAGTTAAATAAGATTAAACGCGCTCGATCACATACATTAAAATAACATCGGCTGCGTAACATTTGTAGTATAAATCACATAACATCTGTAAAAATCAGATAACATTTTATTACCATGAGATAATTTACAATAGAAAGAGCAGAAATCCTAATAAACGAACTTAATAAACTTATTAGCAGTCCACACAAATCATTCCATGTACGAAGTCATTTTTATGTAGGTAAGACATTTCTTGAAATACCACTAAAGACTGCATATTATTTGAAAGTGCAGTTAATCTATTTTATATTATTATTTCCAATTTAAAACAGGAAATTAGGCAAAAAAAACAAAAAAAAACTGTGAATGCAATATATTAACATCAACAGTTTATATTGCATGAAACTAAGGAAAATCAACTAATTACCTCAGGAAAGATTCTACTTTCACATACATTTCGAAGGCCATTTAATACATCGCTCCCTATCAAGGCCAGAACCCTTTCATTAAGAGCACTGAGGGTCTTGACAGCTGGTCCTCCCCTGTTCCTCTGCTATATGTTTGAAATTTTAGGTAGCTCCTTTTTGCGTCTGCTTTCAACTGAGTCCATCACTATATATAAAAAAATTTCATATTAGACACAAAAATTAAATTATATCCTATTCTTAATAATGAGGACATTTAATTCTCCATTGAGACACTACATATATTACCAAGCAAATAAAATCTTTTAAAAATTTTGCCAGATTAAACTAATATTTTTTGGGNTAAAAATTAAATAAAAATTAAAAATATACATAAAAAACTAATAAAAGGTCCGGGTGTAAAAGCCTGGACCTAAAAAGAGTAAAAATAGGAGATTTAAAGTAATACATATTAACAGAAAACACACAAAACAGAGATGTATCTGACAGATACATCGCGCCCGATGCCGTAAGTTTCGAGACGCGCCCGACGGAGTGTTAATACATCGCTCCCTATCAAGGCCAGAACCCTTTCATTAAGAGCACTGAGGGGCTTGACAGCTGGTCCTCCCCTGTTCCTCTGCTATATGTTTGAAATTTTAGGTAGCGCCTTTTTGCGTCTGCTTTCAACTGAGTCCATCACTATATAAAAAAAAAATTTCATATTAGACACAAAAATTGAATTATATCCTATTCTTAATAATGAGGACATTTAATTCTCCATTGAGACACTACATATATTACCAAGCAAATAAAATCTTTTAAAAATTTTGCCAGATTAAACTAAAATTTAAAATTTTTTGGGAACACAAAATCTCTATAAAAAGCTTCTTAGCAATAATTATAATTAAGACTTAAATACTGTAATATTAATTAACTCTTAAAAACTAGTTTCAACTCTTTTGTCCCCCATATATATTGGCAAAATTTGTTTGAAAAACGGGCTTTTTAAACAAATTTCTAAAATTACCAGCTAGGCTAATATTTAAATAAATCAAACTCAAAATTGAGATCACTTGAAAAGTACAGCTACTTATACACATCTGTTGCTTGCATTGAATGATTAACTTTAGTCAAACAGAAAATTTAAACTGTCTTTAAGAGATGACCAATTAAAAAAAAAAAATTATGAACGAGTGAGTCGGGTGCACAATCTGGATTTTATGTGATACCGATTTAAAAATACTGTTTGAAACTATGACACTAGTTAATTTTTGGTTGCACAGTCAAAAGGTGTATGCAAGAGTAAGCGAAAAAGTTATATAATATTTATTGCCATATATGTGTGAAGCAGCATTCTCAGCCTTTGTGTACTTAAAAAATAAGTATCGAAGCATATTTGGACTGATACCAAATTTGAAAATAAAATTAACATCATCATCATCTCCTAATTTGAAACTACTGTGATAACAAATATCATCCTTCAAACTAAGGTCAATATATGTGGATATAAAGTTTACTTTATTTACTTAAGTTTTAAATTACATTTTTTCTGTATATAACTATTCTGCATTTTTATTTTGCAAAAAGTAAACAAATAACTTTACTTTTAATAAAAAATAAAATTTGGGGTCCTGGTCCGGCCAACGCCCCAGTTGCTGCATTCCCCCTTACGAAGGGAAGCAGAGGCGCTCTGAAAAGAGCACCCCCGGGGTTGCTTGGAGAAACCGGATCCGAGTGTGTGATCATTGAAGATGCTCCTCCGCTCGCTTTTTCTCCCTCGACGGTGGTGGGGGGATGGGAAGCAGGGATTCCTCTCTTTCTCTCCATCATCTTCTTTCCTCCTCTCATCTGAAGCAGGGGCGGCGTTACTTCGAAGTCGGGCGAGGGCCTTCTTCTTAGAGTTGCTGCTCCTCTTCATTATGAGGGCGTAATTGTCCTTCTTTTTCATCATCAATGGCAGCTCGAAAGTCGGATCAAGGATCCTAGTGGAGCTCAAAAATCTTCGGTCTGATCTCAGATAAACTGTAAGTCGTCGATGGTTTTGAGTTTTTATGTAAATACATATATCAAGACGGAAAAGAGTAAAAACTGCTAGCAATTAAAGTTCATTTTTAGCTTCTTTTATTCATGCCTAGTAAAATATCCATAACTACCAATTTTTTTTTTTAATTGATACAATATCTATATTTATTTGCTTCTTCCTCGAGAGAAATTAATAGTAGTGAAATGTTTATTGTGAAGAATGGATTTACTGCTCCAAAAAATTAACTGCTATTGGAATAATTCGGCTGCCAGACTAGTTTCTCAATGTAGAGTCGACTGGAAAACGGCTCCTATTGTTATCAGCCCACGCATGCGCCGTGTAAGGTTTTTGGCGATGAAAGTTTGGCGTCAAATTTTGGAGTTGGAATCTTGGCAAGCCATGCTAGTTGAAGTTTTTGATTTGTGGATTTGAGGAAATAAGCTTGTAACCTTTAAGCTATTTTTAAACAAATACTCTCGAACCCTTTCAATTATTTTTTAATAAAGTTAAGCTATTTGCAGTGAAGTGAATGCAATGAATTAGTTTGATTCGTTCTGTGTAACTTGTTGCACGTTTCAAACTTATTGAAATTATTTAATTTAATTATTTATAAAATTGTTAGTTATTTAATTTTTTTAAGTTGTGAATATGGATCAAATACCATGTTGTTTCTGCGAAACAAGTTTTTCTCAAAAAAAGAATTTCTACAGACATTTGCGAAATTCACATCAAGATGTGGAACTTTCGGATTTGAAAAAATTTGTGCACTTTTGTGCACACTGCAAACTCTATTTTAAATTTGATACTGAGTTATCAAATCACAGGGAAGAACTGCACAGTAGTGATAAAAAGGCATTCAAATCCTCATTAAAATGTGGTTTGTGTGATGAAGGTTTCCGATTCATCAAGTGTCTTATTGAACACATAGAAGTTCGCCATCAGGATTTTAGATTAGAGAAGCAAACTCTTGTCTTCAGCAAAGAAGAAGATTTTTTTAAATGGAAGAATGAAATAGAAAGCAGCACCCTTCCAGGCCTGGATCTTCTCTCTCATATGCAATGGTTTTGGGAGAAATTGCTAAACCTTTTATTTTTCGCGCTCAGCCACCAAAGATTTGAATGTGTTGGAACATCTGTTCTTCCTTTTGTCTTGCCGCAAACAATACACAAAGGTTATATATTTTACTTATAATACCCGTGGACAGTAAACATTTAATTGAAATATTTTGGAGCTGTATCACAAGTTCCGTCAACGAGTAGTTTCGCATTTGGTCAAGCATAGGAGATTTGAATGCATGAGAAAATCACTATGCCTTCATCTATCATATTTTTCAATGAAAATAATCCTTTGGCAACACTGATAATAGAGCGTTTGTGATATTGCTTCTAATTAATTTTTCATCGCCTCTTGTTGTAACTTCATCAGCACTTGTTAAAGTTTTCATAGCCGAAAATATTAAATTTTGCTTGCTTTTCGTGAAGTTTTTGTGTGTCCATTTTTTATCTGATTTGATAAAATCTTCCTCTCCAGCACACGCTCAGTCAGAGGATCATGGTTATGTTCTGTTGCATTCTGTATAACGTGGTGCCTTTTCCAAAATATAACTTTGCGTTACAATTATTATTCACGTAACGCATTGAGTTTTTCTTTTTGAGATTTATGTATATCGACGAACCTATAGCGATAATTTTGGTGCAGAATCAGCACTTTTCCATTTTCGCTTGAAATTTTTATCATATCTGCCTCCATTCTCGAAAGGTGTTCAACAAAAAAAAAAAGAAATTAAGGTATCCGACTACGNATACCTTAAGCCAGCAAAACCACTGATGGAAATGGCTCGTTTCCTTTTCAAATCCGTTCCAAATTTAGGATATGATAATTGGACCCATTTACTGAGTCTTACCAAATGACTAATACACTATTCGTGAAGAAGGGAAACTTCCCATACTATATCAATGCTGAATCATAACGATCTTTCCTCTCACCTTTGGCGCTGAACGTGTTATGCAGGAAAGCTATTTATAATCGAAATCAATTTTGCTTTTAAATTTTCGTCAGTTCACAAATTTAGCAGGATTATAGTTAATTTTAAAGTAGTAAATATTTATTTAACGAAAAT